TGCTTAACAGGGCCTGGCACGTGGGAAGCGCCCAGTGAAGAGTGTCGCCCGTGATTTGATTATTATGGTGTGTCCCAGGCATGAACGAATTCACATGGAGGCGACAGCAGGGGAGGGCGCATCATTTAGTTAAAACTCCATGAAGTCCCCTCCCTTGTGTGTCATGAGTCCGCACCTAATCCTCCCTAATTCCCCTGCTGTCCTGCTGAGGCTGGGCCATTGTCATAAGAGGATTGGAGCATTTGCTAAATTAGTCCTGGTCAGGGACAGAGGAAACAGCTGGGGCGGTGGGAGGGGCGCGGTTCAGAGATGGGGAGTGACAGAGAGATATGGGAGCGAGGAGAGAGACAGAAAGAGGGAAATAGAGGAGAGAATGACCCTCGAGGCCCAGGAAGGAAGAAACAGGGGAGAAGAGAATTAAAATGAAGTACCAAACACGGAGGGAAAGAGACACGCAGAGAAGCCCCGCACCCCGACAAGATGAACGTAAATGCCTAGCTGCGTGGCTTTGGGCAGTCACCCAGCCCCCCTCTGCCTCACTGTCCTCATCTATGAAATGGGGATAATAATTAGCATCTATCTGATGGGTTGTTTTGAGAATTAAATGCATTAGGACCAGCTTACCCCAGCGTCTGAGAAATAGTACCTGTTCGTTAATTTTTCTTTCTTTTCTTTTCCTTCTGATATATTGAGGTATAACTTATAGTCTATAAAATCCACCCATTCTAAGTGTACAGTTTGATGAGTCTGGGCAATTATATACAGTCACAGGACCACCACCATAATCAAGATAAAGAATGCTTCTAACACGCCCAAAAAGTCCCCTGTTGTCCTTTGCGGGGAAGCCCATTCGCTGCTCCCCAGGTCCTGGCAACATTCAACACTATCTCCTTTCTGTCCCGTATCAGCTCATCTTTTCTAAAATTTCATATTCGTGGACTCGTACATGGACTGCTTTGTGCCTAGCTTCTTTTCCTCAACGCTGGGATGTTCATCCACGTTGTCACCACTAGGGGACACCCTTTGGTATGGATGCACCACGGTCTGTGTCCCCATTCACCTGCTGGTGGACACTGGCAGAGTTTCCAGTTTGGGACGTTATGCATAAAGCAGCCATGAATGGCCCAAATACAAGTTCAGTTAAAAAAAATAAAAACAGGCTAAGATACATGTTTAGCATGATGTTTCCAAGGTTCATCCATGTCCTAGCATGTATCACCGCTTCGTTCCTTTTCGTGGCTGAGTGACATCCCCTCGTAGGGCTAGACCACATTCTGTTTCTCCATTCTTCAGTGGATAGATGGTTTCGGTCTTTGGGTTATTGTGACTAGTTCTGCCGGAGAACTTGAGTGCACGTGTTTTTGTTTGAACACCTGTCACTTTCAGTTCTTTTGGGTATGGAGTTAGGAGCGGAATTGTTAGATCACTATCCAGTTTCAGAACTTTTTCGTTGTCCCAAAAGGAAACTCCATATTTATTAAGCAGTCACCCCCCCCCAATTCAAAGGTGCACCCCAGACCCCGGCAGCCATTCATCTGCCTTCTGCCTCACGGATTTGCCTATTCTGAATGTTTCATATAAATGGAATCATACAATAGGTGGTCTTTTGTGTCTGGCTTCTTCTGTGAATGTATTAATACTGAATGCCACTAAAATAATTACCTCAAAATGGACAAAATGAATTAAGATCCTTAAAATGGGAAAACCAGTACATTTCACAGTATGTGCATTTTACCACAAAATTATGTGAATAAGCATTTATTAAGCTCTTACCATGTACCAGCCTTCAGGACCAAATACTTAATATAATAACTTCATTTCATTCCCTTGAGGCAGGTCTTCTTGGATGCTCCATGTTACAGGTGGGGAAACTGAGGCTGGGAGAAATGAACCACCCAAGGTCAGACGACCACAAGGGGGCTGAGCCAGGCTGGGACTGCCTGTCCCCCTCAATCCCATGTTTGGCACCCTCCCCATCCCGCTGCCAACAAAAATAACCTGAGACTCAGCACCTGAGAGGAATAGAAGCAGAAAACGACCACTTACAGCAGGAGAAAGAGGAAGTCAGAGGCAAAGGAAAAGACAGAGGGGGAAAGAAAGGAAGAAGACGAAAATTCAGCAAACAGAAAAGGATGCCCATGCTCGGGAGTCTGAGAGCCAGGAGCAAGGAAGGAAAGAGACAGAGAAGAGATGAGAGAGGAAGGAGGGAAGTTCGAGACCCTTCAGGGGATGAGAGACGGAGCTGCAGAGGGAGACGTCCCAAGGGCTGGGCGGGACTCTGCTCCCTGCCCAGAAGCCCTGGGGCCTGTGCTCCTTCCTTCTTAATCGGCTTTAGGGAGATAACAAGGAAAAGACTGTGATGGGTGATAAGACAGGAAGTACATGGATGGGCCCATGTCCCCACAGGGACAAGGGACAGAGGAATCCCTGTGTCAACTGTCCCGGTTTGCCCCTCCAGGGAAAATCATGGAAATTAAAAAAAAAAAAACAAAAAAAACACCCAGACTTTAAATGGGATTCAACGTTTTAATCGGTTTCACTGTGTGGGTGGCCAGACAAGGAGGACCTGGGATGCCAGTGTGGGGTCAGGGAGGACAGAGAAGGTGACACAAAAGGAGGGAGGCTCCTGGCCTCTTCCCTCCGTGCCCACTTGCCTCGTCACCCCTCCTGGCTTTAGGAAGTAGAATAGACGACAGCAGGAGAGCCGGGTTCAGGAGGCTGGCCCAGGAAAAGGGACTTGGAACCTCCTGATCAGATCCAACTCCTGGAGAAGTCTCAGAAGACCCCGGATCAGGATCAGGGTCTCTTGACATCTTACCCCATTGGCCGTGACTGGGGCCCCTCAGCCTCTCTTTCTTCCCACGCTTCCCAAGAACTTCACATGCATCCTGCAAGCCCTCCTTGACCCCCCATGTCAAGTTCCCTTTGAATTGTCTGCACAAGTCACGGCCTCCCCGAGAACGGCGAGCTCTGTGGCACAGGGAGATTCTTGCCCACGCCCGAGTCCCCAGCCTCCAGCACAGAGCCTCGGCATCTCTGCAGAAAGCAAAACTGACGCTCGATTCTGGTCCCAACTTTTGCACAGACCCAGGGCACCATGTCGTGGCATCCCTGTCCCCCCACCCTGTGACTTTCGTCTGGATCCCCCAGCCTCCACCCTGCCATGTGTTGTCTTCCTCTGTTTATACTTTGGGTCCCACACTGGACTCTGAGCCACTCCTGAGTTTAGTGTCCCAGAGCCCAGCATGACTCAGGCCCATGAGAGACGAACAAGTTGGGTATTGAACAAAGCATCCTGGTGTGCTCTAGTGCTCAGAGTGTGTGCCCCTCCCGGGGTCTCGGCTGTGCAGACCTCTTCTGGTCCACAGCTGGAGGCATCACTGGCTACCTCCCAGCCTCTCTCTTCACACCCTGCCTTTCTCCTGACATCAGGGTGCTGGTGCCAGCTTGTACTAGTTCAGAAACACAGGGATGCTACCTCTCTTCCCAATTCCAAGTTCAGTGACCTCAGGTCGATAGCTTGAAATCAGCCATGGTGGGAATATTTACACCACGGAAATTGGCAAACTACAAATCAGGGCTTTTCCACTTTCCTGGAGAGCCGGTTGTTAAACCTCTCCCGGCGCACCACTGCCTTCCTGCCCTGCTTTCTTTCACAACTTGCCTTGAGAAATCCCCAGTGAAAGGCTGTTGGATCCCGCCTCCCCTTCCAAAAATGAAAAGAGAACTTGGACTGAGGAGGCAGGGGCCAAGCACCAAAGTTTTCAGGCCGAGCTCTATTTTCCAATCTCATAATCAAAACTGAAAACAAAAAATCTAAAAGAGAGAACTCACGTTTAAAATGCAGAGAGACCTCCAAATCCCTTTTTCTCTCCCTCATCTGTTGTTTATTTACAGGGAAGCCTATCCCTCTGCCTCTTCTCTTTCAAATAGCCACAACTACAGGTGGTGCACCCCATGCAATCACCCCAATTCCACCCATGTTTCCGTGAAATTCACCTTTGGAAAATCCTAAGGCAGGTGGCTCACGCCTGTAATTCTAGCACTCTGGGAGGCCAAGGCAGGAGGATGGCTTGAGGCCAGAAGTTCGAGACCAGCCCGAGCAACACAGGGAGAACCCATCTCTACAAAAAATAGAAAAATTAGCTGGGCATGGTGGTACGCGCTTATAGTCCCAGCTACTCAGGAGGCTGAGGCAGGAGGATCGCTTGAGCCCGGGAGTTCAAGGCTGCAGTGAGCTATGATGGTGCCACTGCACTCCAGCCTGGGCGACAGAGCAGGACCCTGTCTCTATTTAAAAAACAAAACAAACAAAAAAAATAAAATCCTAAAACAAAATAAAAAAGAGTAGAGATAGAAAAGGCAACTTGCTTTTCATTCTCCTACCAAATATGCTCATTTCCAGTGTGCTAATGAGTGAATGAATAATAAAATGTCTTTAAAAAGAAACTAAGAAGAAAATATATATGTATATGTACATACATACATATGTATATCAAAAACCTAACATGTAAGCCTGACATTTGTGAAGACTGTAAAATTTTTTAATGAATTTTTTAATGTAACTGTATAATTAGCCTAAGGTTTCCTGATAGGGCTTCTTAAAGTCTGTTTTTGGGATTTCTAGAAAGATCCCTAACCCTATGCTAAAAAAAGGACCCAAATGGAAAGTTTGGGAATTAAGCCGCCCTACCTGGTTGTTCAAGGGCATGGTGATTCTGACCTAAGCATCACCCCAAAGCAACTGCCAGTTTGGTTTACTTTCTCCTTGGGGCAAGTTCTCAGCACTGGTTTCTGGAGTCTGGAGCTAACGAGACAGCGTTGGGGTTGAGAGAATCACTGAGACCTGCTGGGCTGTCCCTAAGGAGGGAAGGGCGGACCGTGCCAAGCTAAGCTGCACCTGGAGAAGCCAAGGAGGCCACACCCTTGGAAGAGTCATTAGTTCCTGTTGTTTTCTCAGGGGTGCCGCCCCAGTGTCTAAGCTGCAGAGAGGCAGATATAGACAAGAGAGGGTCCTGAGGCCAGATGGAGAGCTGCGGAGAGATGCAGAGAGAATCTTCTACAAAATCTGAAACTTCCAGGCACTCTGATCCTTGTAGTCCAGAGGATCCATGGGGTTGTAGGTGAATTTCCAGGTGCCCGAGGGGTCCTTGAATTCCAAGCTGTCCACAGGGCTGTAGGGGCCATAGCTCTGACCTGACAGGGACGTTGGGGACTGGGCCAAGGAGGGTCCCACAGAGGGGCCAGAGAGGGGGCTGAGAGCCGGGCCCCCCAGCTGGGGCACCATGGGAGACAGGTAGGGATCCAGGCCACTGAAATAGGAGCTGGGAGACCCATAGGCAGAGGGGGAAGAGCAGAAAGCAGAGGCTGGGGCATAGGTCATGGCATAGGGGGCAGAGGTCAGAGAAGGCCCCGAGGCCACCAGCCCAGCCCGCTGGGCCTCGGGCAAAGGGGACTCTGAGGCTGGACTCCAGATGGACACCGTGGCCACTGCCGTGGTGGGGGAGCCCGAGGGGCCGGGCAGAGGCGGGCTGTAGGAATCGGAGATGCCCAGAGGGTCTGGACACACATCCGTGGAGGGTCTTGGCGATGAGCCCGCCTTCCTCTTGGCAGGACGAGCCTTGGCCTGGCCCCCCGGGGGCTGCTGCTGCTGTTTCTGCTGCTGCCGCTGCTGTCTGCACTTAGCCCTGCGGTTCTTGAACCAAACCTGGGGGGGTAAGGGGGGATGGGAGTGGGTCAGTGGGGAAGAGGCCCAGGTGAGCCCTCAGGGTACCCAGGAATGAGGACGCTTATTGGTAAGAGGTGCTGAAGTCACATCTCCCCGCTTTGCATCCAGCTATGGAGCATCTATCCACCCACCCACCCGTCCATGCAATCAGTGAGCAAACATGCATTAACCGTCTTCCACCGCTCTGGGCGTCCATCAGTGGAGCAGACATTCCAGTTGGGAGAAGCAGATGACAAATAGTCAATCAATCGATAAATCATATAATGTTTTAGAAGGTAATAAATACCATGGAGGAAGCCATTGAGCAGGACAAGGGGGAGCAGGAGAGCTGAGGTAGTGGGGAAAGGTGGTCATTTTGAATGCCATGGTCAGTGTGGGTGTCATTGATTGACAAGGTGGCTTGATTGGTTCATAAGCAAAGACCTGAACAAGGTGATGGGCCAGCCACGTGGTTATCTGGAAAACGAGCGATCCAGGGAGAGGACCCGCTAGTGCACAGGCGGGAGTGTGCTGCGCGGTGGCGTTAGTGGCTGCAGTGGCGTGGGAAGGGGGGAGGGGGAGAGAGGTCAGGGGGACGGTGCAGGGAGCGATCATCACCGTGGCTGCTACCCCGTGACTACTCCCTTCGCTCTGGGTCCGGGAGGGCCCCCGGAAGGCCACAGGGAGGGTCGGGCGGGTCGGGAGGGGCTCAGGGACCAACATCCCACCTGAACCCTGGACTCGGGCAGGTTGATCTTCAGCGCCACCTCCTCGCGGGCGTACACGTCCGGGTACTGCGTCTTGGCGAACAGCGCCTCCAGCTCCTCCAGCTGGCTGCGGGTGAAGGTGGTCCGCTCCCGCCGCTGCTTCCGCGGGGCACCTGGGCGGGCGGGAAAGAAGGCCTCAGGCCATCCGGGTGGGGCTGACGCCCTGAGTTCTGGCGGGAGGCCGAGACGTCCCGCCTGGGTGTCCACCTGCCTAAACTAAGGGTGGAGTGGACACTCCCTGCCCTTCCGTGACTTGTCACTCGACTTGTCACTCTGTGGCCCAGGCCTCGCCCCGAGGGGAATCGGCTTTAGCCCTGCAAGGTGTGTGAGTTGTGTTTTTTCTCCCTTCTTTTGAGACAGAGTCTCGCTTTGTTGCCCGGGCTAGAGTGAGTGCCGTGGCGTCAGCCTCGCTCACAGCAACCTCAAACTCCTGGGCTCAAGCGATCCTCCTGCCTCAGCCTCCCGAGTAGCTGGGACTGCAGGCATGCGCCACCATGCCCGGCTAATTTTTTCTATATATTTTTAGTTGTCCAATTAATTTCTATTTTTAGTAGAGACGGGGGTCTCGCTCTTGCTCAGGCTGGTCTCGAACTCCTGAGCTCAAACAATCCGCCCACCTCAGCCTCCCAGAGTGCTAGGATTACAGGCGTGAGCCACCGCGCCCAGCCATTTTCTCCCTTTTAAACTTTCTTATGTGCTGCCTAAGACATATTCAGTTGAAGCATGACATTGCTGATCTCCAGCCATTTCCAGACTATCCAGCGGCAAGTCCACACAGGCAGTTCAACTTCATGCAAAAAAAAACCCAAAAAAACAAAAAAAAGTCTGAAGAATACTGATACTACTGACACGAATAACTGAGTGCTCACTTCTCTTGAAAATAAAACTTTGCTGCCAGGCGCGGTGGCTCACGCCTATAATCCCAGCACCCTGGGAGGATCGCTTGAGGTCAGGAGTTCAAGACCAGCCTGAGCAAGAGCGAAACCCCATCTCTACTAAAAATACCAAAATTAGCTGGGTGTGGTGGCCCACACCTGTTGTCCCGGCTATTCGGGAGGCTGAGGCAGGAGGATCGCTTGAGCCCAGGAGTTCAAGGCTGCAGTGAGCTAGGATGACGCCACTGCACTCTAGCCTGGGCAACAGAGTGAGACTCTGTCAGAAAGAAAGGAGAAAAGAAGAAAAGTTTTGCTAACGGATGACAATTTCTCTTGGAACCTCTTTTCTCTTGGTTCCGCTTCCAGATTGTTTCCTCCTTCCTCACCCCAAAAGGAGCCACTGTTGAAAATTTCTGGGTAATGTCCATGTTTTCCTACATCCCTAAGTGACATATGATAGTGTTTTGCACTTGCAGGTGAACGCAGGGCTGGTGTATGGCCTCGATGTCAGCCCTGTAAGTGCCTTCCTCCTGAGGACAAGGGACCCCAGAGGTCCCCGAGAGAGGAGACCGGCCTGGGGTGTTGAGGAGAAGGACTGTACTCACTGGGGTAGGGGACAGCCTGGTGCATCAGATCCACACTGGGGCCACTCAGGGCCAAAGCATTGACAGAGTAGTGGGGCCCGGGGTTCATATACGCCATCATGATCCTCGGAGACACTGGGGCCCAGGTCAGGGGGCCTGCAAGAGAAGATCGGGGGGGACACTCAGACACTCACCAGTTACTCAACTGTCTGGCGACACACAGGTCGAGCTTCCAACCCTGCCTCAGACTCCTCTTAGGTGTGTGGCCTGGGGCCATTTATCTCAACTCTCTGTGCCTCAGTTTCCTCCCCTATAACGTGGCCCTCTGCTAACAGTTGTTGGAGCTTCACTGCGACTCGGTAAAGCAGACAGTTGAAGCCACAGGGGATCTCACAAATGAAAGCCTTTTTCTCTACTCTGTCCTTTAAAAAAATCTGATCCCGACACAGTCCCTTCTCCGAGATCTTTTCTCCCTGTGACCACAGGAAAAGATGTTCAGCCTCACAAATCGCTGGGAAGAACAGGCTGACCAGCTGTCCCTGTTTGGCCGGAATGGGAAAGGGGCGGTTTCTTGGGACGCAGGATTCTCAGTGCTAAAACCAGAACAGTCCCAGACAAACCGGGATGGTCGCCCTAAGGGAGAGTCATTAAAACGACAGTGAGTAATGATCTGCCACAACCACTTTTGACCTGTCAGGTCGGCAAAGATGAAAGAGGCTGGTAACACCCAGCTCCGGCCTCAGTGTGGACAAATAGGCACCCCCGTGGCAGGTCGGTAACAGTGCAGATTGGAACAAACCGGAAACAGTTATCAAAGTAAAATGCCATCTTCCTTTTGTCCCTGCTACTCGCCTTCCGTGTGTGGAAAATGGGAATGAAAATAGCATTTATATCTTTAGGTAGGGTGAGGGTTAAATGCATTCATACTCCGCAGGGGCTTTGAATAGCACCTGACACACAGTAAGTGCTATGCAACTGTTGGCGGTTGTAGTTGTTATTTGCAAACAGATGTTTGCAGATTTTAAACTAGGATTTTTTTTTTTTTTTTGAGACAGTCTCACTCTCTTGCCTGGGGCGAGTGCCGTGGCGTCACCCTAGCTCACAGCAACGTCAAACTCCTGGGCTCTATTTTTAGTAGAGACAGTGTCTCGCTCTTGCTCAGGCTGGTCTCAAACTCCTGAGCTCAGAACGATCCACCCGCCTCGGCCTCCCAGAGTGCTAGGATTACAGGCGTGAGCCACCGCGCCCAGCCGGATTTTTTTTTTTTTTTAGAGATGGGGTCTCACTATGCCGACCCGGCTGGAGCGCAGTGACTATTCACACCCATGATCATAGCTCACTGCAGCCTTGAACTTCTGGGCTCAAGCGACCCTCCCACCTCAGCCACCCTAGTAGCTGGGACTACCGGTGTGTGCCACCTCGCCCAGCTACACTAGGACTTATTTTTTTTTTGTAAAAACACTGCCGGAATACAATAGGATTTTTAAATGTGACATATTTGTAATTGCCAAAATGTGGAAGCAGCCTATATATTCACCAAAGGGGATATATTAGCTAAATTATATTAAGTAAATTACGGCATACCCACGTAGGGGAATACGATAAAGTCATTAAAAAATATAAAGCTGCTCTCTATGAACTGATTTTAAAAGCTCTCTAGTATACAGTTAAGAAAAATTGTCCTAGGCTTGGGAATGAGACAAATGGCTGATGGCATGTCACTTCCAAGTTATTCTGGAGCCTGGTCTAACAGACCCACCCATAGATTACTTTCTAGGAGACTGTACCTCTGTTTGATTTACTACTTATTCATTTTCGATTAGGGTCTAGACTCTGACAAGGTAAGTGGTAACTTCTGGAAGTTTGGATGCAAATGATTTCTCTCTAGTAGAGAAGATAACCTCACAGGTTACAGTTTTATTGTCCGGTTTTGTACCTAACCTGGCAAACTTTTTTAAGCACACCTTTCCCGAATAATCGTATTAACCTCTGTCCATGGAATTCTCCTTTGAAACAGCTGCTTCCCTCATTAATGACTTACGTAAACCTTTCACCTGCACTTATATATGTGAATTGGAGTCAGGTTTTAAATTTTTTTAAAGTTACACTTTGATAAAAATAATAATATATTTATTCAAATGATAAAAGTCTCGTCCTGAGCAGTGTGCATAATATGCTGCCATTGGTGATTTTTAAAACAAGGCAGTGATTTTACCCATGTATACAATATATGCTCGTATAGGCACAGAAAATTCCCAGGAAGGAAACGAGCTACTGGTTACAGTGGCTGCCTCTGGGAAGGTGCGCTGTGTCCATACCTTGCTTTTACAGTTTGGATTACTTTTTCATGTATGTGTGTGTGTGTGTGTGTGTGTTACTTTTTCAAAAACAAAAGCAACATGGGAAGGCCAAGGCCGGAGGATTGCTCGAGGTCAGGAGTTCAAGACCAGCTTGAGTAAGAGCGAGACCCCGTCTCTATTAAAAATAGAAAGAAATTAGTTGGACAACTAAAAATATACAGAAAAAATTTAGCCAGGCATGGTGGCGCGTGCCTGTAGTCCCAGCTACTTGGGAGGCTGAGGCAGGAGGATCGCTTGAGCCCAGGAGTTTGAGGTTGCTGCGAGCTAGGCGGACGCCACGGCACCCTAGCCCAGACAACAGAGTGAGATTCTGTCTCAAATAAAATAAAAAATAAAAAAAAAAAGCAACAATGAAATCTCGGAAAAACAATCGAAACATGGAAAGCTTTGGAGGGTTCCCCATCGCCCATGCTGGAAGGGCCTCAGACAACCTCAGCCTCTGCGGCTTTTGCATAAGCTGTTTCCTGGGCCAGGAATGTCCCTGCCAAAGCCCAGTGCTCCTCTCACCAACTAACCCCTTCTCCTCCCCAAGGTCTCAGTGGAAACATAATTTCCAGGGAAGCCATCCTGCACCCTAAGCTGGATTTCTCACACGCCCCCAATAAATACTTGAAAAATACGGACATGAATAAAAACCGGGTGACATTTATTTCACCTCCCACCCTCTTCCTTCCTCCCACCAGCCTGCCCTTCTCATCCCTCAGTCGAGGGGCGGGTTCTGTTTATTACAAGCTGAGGTTCTCCTACTCACTCAGCAAATGTTTCATGAATGCCGACCCTGCTCTAGGGATGTGGCAAGAAATAAGACCCACCGCATCTCTGTTCTCATGGAACTGAACTTCTAGGTTCCGGTCAGAGAAACTGACAAGGAACAAGGAAGCGGATTTTTTTTAAATCAAGTTGTATCAGAGGGTTTCAAGAACTCCTGGGAAAATAAAGCAGGGTAATACAATAGTGAAGGAGTTTGGGGTGGCCAAGGCAGCTAATGAAGTTGAATAAGATCTGAGGGTCCCCGGCAGAGGGAATAGCAAGTGGCGAGGCTTGGAGGCTGGGGTCACTTTGTCTTGTTGGAGAAGCAAGGTGTCCTGTGTGGCCATAGCAGAGTGATCAAGGAGGAACATGGAAAGGTCCTGTAGAAGCTGATAGGAATACAAGGGCTGATAAAAGCAAAAACAGAAGCATTAAATCCTAAGAATCAAGTCGCCTCCAAGGTAACTCCCAGTAATCCTTACGCCGTGATATTCACATCCTTGTGCAGTCCCAGGCTCGCGTGTGTGACCAGCAGGACATTGCAGAAACGACAGTGTGATTTCCAAGGCCAGCACTCGCTCTGAGGAAAGCCAGCTGCCATGTTGTGAGGACGCCCAAGCAGTCCCATGGAGAGGTCTACGCGGCAAGGAACTGAGGCCTCCTGCCAACGGCCATGCTCATGAGCTACCGCGGACGCTGATTCCCCAGCCCCAGTCAAGCCATTAAGTGACTTCAGTCCTGGTCAACGTCTGACTACAACTTCACAAAATACCCTGAACCAGAATCACCCAGTTAAACCACTCTTGGATTCCTGTCCCTCAGTAACTATGTGAGATCAGAAGTGTTTACTGTTTTAAGCCACTAAGTTTGGGGATCATTTGTTACACAGCAACAGCTACCTAATACACAAGGCTTCTCTACGCAGGATGTCGTTAAATCCTCAGCACAGCCCTGGAAGGCAGAGACTGTATTTCTATGATGCTCACACTCTTGAGGGGGGGCATCTTCAGGTGCAGGCGCTGTGACTCACCCGGGGTCACACACAGGCTGTCAGTGTGGACGCAGGATTACAACTCCGGAGTATTCCTGAAGGTCCTATTCTCCCAGCCCCCGAACCTGGGTTCCCTCTGTCCTCTCCCACTCCTCCAAAATGCAAAAAATGTTTAATATGAACCTCCAGACAGTGGAAACAGGGAGACTAGTGAAGTTGTCCTACTAGGGACAATCTGCAGGGGCTGGAGCAAAAGCACCCACTTTCATTGTCTTCACCATCAAATCCGAGCCCAGTTGCCCAGTTAAGCAGTTGACCTTCCAGGAAAGCCAAGAATTCTCACATTTAAGACGATCCCTTTCTATGGACAGGGAATCTGAGCCTCAGGGGGAGAATCACGCCTGCCCGAGACCAAGCAGCTGGTAATGATTATGACCTTGAGAACTGAGTGTTCACCTACTCATCCAGCATCCAGTAAGTGCTATGTAGACAAGACGTCAGCAAAGAATAATAACAAAAATAATATTGAACATCCATTGGAGCCTTTGCCCAGGTTTGGCAACAAGATGAGACAGCTGATGATGTAAGAACCTCCAGACACTCAGCAGACGCTGGCGAAGGCTTTGGATACAAGATATGACGGGTCCCAACGACAAGAACAGTTTCTACTGGTCATTGGGAATTGACAATGAGCCTGACAGAAACACCTGCCCCGTTGGATTTCAAGGAAATGATGTTTCGCGACCTCAACGGGTGGAGTGAGGGTCATCAGCGTCCCTGCCCTGGGGGTCAACCTGTGAGGCTGGTTCTCAGAGCTCAGGTGTTCAGCATCCACTGGGGCCCGGGTTCCCACCTCAGCGGTTGTCCTCACAGGTGAGGTCTGAACACTCACACCCACTTCGTGTGAGGCAGACATGCGGATTAGCCCATTCTACAGGTGGGGAAACTGAGCCTGGCAAGGAGGAAGGTGCCCAACTCAGATCAGGCAGCTGATGACGGTAAGGACCCCCGGGGCTTCCCCACTGCTCAGACACTGTGTGCACCCAGGACCTTGGGGACAAGAGCTTGGGGAACAATAACCCAGCGCAGACTTCCTGTGAGTATCTCCTAGTGTCGGCCCCATGTCGCAGAACAGGAAACTGAGCCTCAGAGAAGCTGAGTCTTCAGTTTCGTCACACACATCAGTGGCAAGGCCAGGGCTGAGCCAGCACCTGCCCCCGGAGCCTGTGTCCTCCCGACCCCCAGGCTACACGGCCTCTTAGGACGCTCACCACAGCCCCACGGAGCTCAGAGGTCCATTTCTCAGATGAGGAAACTGAGGCTAGGAGAGCTTCTGTCAATTCTGAGGTCACACAGGTGATGAGTGGCAGAACCAGAGATAGAATTCAAATCTCTCTGGCCCCAGAGCCCCACCCTTCACCCCCAAATCTACATGGGGTCCCTGGAAGAGGGATAAGGCCAACCCCTCCCCTGATCCCACCATAGGCCAGGCCTGTGACACAGGTTTCCCACGGCTCATCTGACAGGACCATCGTGACAACTTGCCATTGTCCCCACTTTACAGATGAGGAAACTGGGGCCCCGTGAAGGACCCGAGGCCACACAGTGAGAAAAGGGCATGGTATAAAGCCAGACTCACGTGTCTACACATCAGCCCTTGACAAGACCACCTCCTACCCCCTGCTCTGCCACATTCAAGACCCTCCCGCTCCCCTGCAGCCTCCCTCTGCTGCCCCTGTGGCCACTTGTCGAGTGGGGACAAGGAGCTGGGTGCCTGTGCCCACTACCCAAGATAGGACCTGGGGAAGCCAGAACCTCTGGGTGCAATGAGGCCTCCAGGGATCAATTCACCACATAGTGACCCCCAAACCCTCACACTCCCGGCCCCCTCAGGCAGTCTCTGAAGTCTACCCTTAGTCCCTCCTGCTGCAGCCCAGACCCCGGCCCCTGCATGGGTGCCTCTTCAGCCCCATTTCTGCCATCCATGCATCTACTCAGCAAATAATAAGCAAATCCCACGCCACACCGTGCACTGGGAAGAAATCAAGGTTCGGCAAGGGAGACAGGCAATCAGTGGGTAAACGCACAAGCGAGAAGGAAATTTCAGGCAGCGATGAGTTTTAAAGAAAATACAACCGGGATAAGGAGTTGCCTGGGAACCAGGGTGAGAAGCCCCCCTCCCTGGACGCTGCCAGGGCCTGATGGCATCACCTCGCCAGCAAGCCACCCCTGAATGCTCAGTGCCCCGCGTGCCATGGGCCAGTCCCCACTGGCTAACCTCACTTCCTCCTGGTGCCGGCACAGCCCGGTCCAATTTCCCCAAATGCCAGGACGGCACCTCTGTCCCATGTGTGACTGTTCAGCCACTGAAAACACAGCCACAAATAAAATCCACCCGCCTTCTGCGCTCTGCCTGCCCCTTCCTGTCCCTTCCTCGGTGCCCCTGCTCCTGCAGACACTCACCTTCAGCAAGGAGGGACAGGGCTCCCCTGGTGGCCCAGGTCCTGGGCAGAGTCTCCAGACAGCAGAGGCTGAAGGAAACAGGTCCCCTCACATGGGGAGATTTTAAGCCCAGGCTGGGAGTGATGTCATTTGCCATGGCCTGGATCTCAGAGAGTAATCCTGGCCAAGGTGGGGGACTCCACTGGGCACCAGGAGGTGACATTGGCTGGGAGGGGGAGGGGCACCCGTCTGCTTAATCCCCTCCCCTCCCCCATGACATCTTGGCAATTAGGATTGATGGGGAGAGGCCCCAGCTCCCGCCCATGACCATAATCCCCCCTACTCCTCAGGGAAGTGCTTCCTTAGGTCTCACTGGTGTCCCTCCAGCTTTGGCTATTGTCCCAAGAGAGAGGCATCGAAGAGGAAGGAGAGAAAGGCCTGGTGTTCCTGAGAGATCATTTGGAAAACAAGGGACACAGGGCTTTCCGGGGTCCCCCTTCCTCTTCCCAGCAGTCTGTCTGCCAACCAGCTCATCTTCGTCCTGCCTCATTGTCACTTTTTTCTTGCCTCGGTTTCCCTTTTTTCTCTTCCTTTGTTATGTCAGACATGAAATTCTCCACTTTCTCTTCCCATCTTCTCGCTCTCTCTCCCCACACCTTTGGTCTTTGTTTGGGTCTCTCTGCCTCAGTTTCTCTTTTGGGGGGCTCTGCCACTTCTGCCTATTTGCCTGCTCCGCTCTGTCCCTGTCCTTATTCACTGGCCTGTATTACTGTCTCGGTCTCTCTTATTCTCTCTGTCTCCCCCTCCCCCATGTCTGTCTGTCCCTTCCTGTGCCCTGTTTCCGCCTGTCCTCTCGTCCCTGCGGCTCAGGCCGTCTTGGTCCCTCTGTCCTTCCTTATCCAGCCCGGCCTCTCGGGAGCTTCACTCTCTGTCCCTTCCTCCTCTCGGGGTCTCCCTTCTGCTCTTTCTCCCTGTCGTGGTCCCGCTCTTGCTCTGCATTTCCAATTTTCTTTTGTCTCTGTCCCTCTCTGTGTCTCCTCTCATCTGTCTCTCCGGCTATATCTCCCTGCGCTCCTGGGCCCCACGCGGGTCTGCTCCATTGACTCACACACACACACACACACACAGACACACACACACACACACACACACACACTCAGTAATCCCTCCTTGTGGCTGGGTCATTGTGTCTCACCATAAGGGGCCCTTTCTTTCTCCTCCCCCCGCCCCCATCCCCCTGCTAGGAGGGATTAAGGCTGCTGGCCTGGCTGGGGAACCAGGGCAGGTCTCATTAGCTTGAAGAGCCAGGGGTGACAGCAGGAGAGGGAGGGGCCGTCTGACCCTTGGTGACCAGTCAGGAGGCCCTGATGGGAGAACCCAGTCCTGGAACAGCCCCTCTGGCACCGGAGCAGGGAAGGAAGGTTGGAGCAGGGAAGGAAGGTTGGCTGTCTGGGGACAGGAGGAGAAAACAGGTCCTTGCAGGAGGGAGAAGGCGTCAGCAACTCTAAATCACCTCCCCTGGGCATTTCGGCACTGGTCGGCTCTGGGGATGGGGGTGCAGAGAGGTGGGTTTCAGATGATCATGCATGTGGCCCCGGAGTCAATTAAGCTGAATCAAAATCTGTGTCCCATCTCTGAGCTGGGTCACCTAAGGCAAGTTCCTTTCTTTCTCATCTACACCTACTGACTCAAGCAGAAATCCGAGCATTCAGCCTGGTCCCCAACCCCTTCTTCTCACCCTACATGTCCAGTCCATCTATAAGTCCTGCGATCTCTTCTACCAGATAATTGTTCTGTTGAAAACTGCAAAGCACTGCTGGGAGAAATCGAAGAAGACGCAAGGCAACAGTGAAATATACCATGTTCATGGATTGGCACACTCAACGTTACTAAGACGTCAATTCTTCCCAAACTAGTCTTTAGCTTCACTGCAAAGTCTCAGCAAGCTTTTTCTGCAAAAACTGACAAACTGATTCTGAAGTTTACGTGGAAATATAAAATATCTAGAAAACTCAAAACAGTCTTGGGGGGAAAACACAAGTTGAAGAACTCATACTACCTGACTCTGAGACTTATTGTAACGTCCCTGACTACAGCAGGAAGGAGCGGGGTTAGACTGTGGCAGCCCCAGGGCCTGTGGGATGCTGGACATCCTTGGATCGGATTGTTGATGAGTTTCAGTCCAGACTCTACTGCAGGATTGTGGGCTTCCTCACGCCTGCACCCCCTTATCTCCCTAGCACGGTCACCCTGCTTTATTTTATGCAAAACTCTTGACATCTTCTTTCTTGTCTGCCTCTGGTCAGGAGGGCTGGCACCTTGCCTGTCTTGTATTCCCAGTGCCTGGGACAGCGTCAGACACAAAGTAGGTGCTCAGTAAATAGGGATGGGATGAATGCATGAATGAAGTAGGACAGACCAGGTAGAGTGACTCACAGAAAAGAGATGTGATGTGGTTTTACCAAAAGGACCAAGGGCTTGTGACTGCAGCAGAGCAAGGTGAGACGGTGGGGCTGCCACTGATGTCTGAGACTCTGCGCACTTCAGGGATCACGTCATTGCTGAGCTGATTAGTTTAGGCTCTGACTGTGCTATGAATCCAACTATTCCCCATGTCCCATGTCCGGTAGTGGGGACATCCATTCAGCTCCTTTTCCCCACTGGACAGAGTGGCCACAGGGGTGGCAGAGGGAGGCTGGAGGGGCTGACAAGGGAAAGCCTCAAATGTGGTAGAGCTGGGGAGGGGGGTCTTGCCAGGAGCTGATGTGTAGCCACACAGAGGGAGTTTATACCACTCCCTTTTCTCGCTGTGTGGCCTTCAGCCCTTCACGAGACTTCAGTTTCCTGAACTGCAAAGTGGGGACAATGACAAGTTGTCATGATGGTCCTGTCAGATGAGCCATGGGAGACCTGTGTCACAGGCCTGGACTGTGGGAGGATCAGGGGAGGGGGCTGGATTCATCCCACTTCCAGGGACCCCAGGTAGATTTGGGGGTGAAGGGTGGGGCTCTGGGGCCAGAGAGATTTGAATTCTATCCCCGGTTCTGCCACTCATCACCTGTGTAACCTCAGAATTGACAGAACCTCTCCTAGCCTCAGTTTCCTCATCTGAGAAATGGACCTTTGAGCTCCATGGGGCTGTGACAAGCGTCCTAAGAGGCCGTGTAGCCTGGGGGTCGGGAGGACACAGGCTCCGGGGACAGGTGCTGGCTCAGCCCTGGCCTTGCCACTGATGTGTGTGACGAAACTGAAGACTCAGCTTCTCTGAGCCTCAGTTTCCTGTTCTGCAACATGGGGCCGACACTAGGAGATACTCACAGGAAGTCTGCACTGGGTTATTGTTCCCCAGGCTCTTGTCCCCAAGGTCCTGGGTGCACACAGTGTCTGAGCAGTGGGGAAGCCCCGGAGGTCCTTACCGTCATCAGCTGCCTGATCTGAGGTGGGCACCCTCCTCCTTGCCAGGCTCAGTTTCCCCACCTGTAGAATGGGCTAATCCGCATGTCTGCCCACACGAAGTGGGTGTGAGTGTTCAGACCTCACCTGTGAGGACAACCGCTGAGGTGGGAACCCGGGCCCAGTGGATGCTGAACACCTGAGCTCTGAGAACCAGCCTCACAGGTTGACCCCCAGGGCAGGGACGCTGATGACCCTCACTCCACCCGTTGAGGTAATGAAACATCATTGCCTTGAAATTCAACCAGTTCGTAGAAGACTTGGACATTTCAAAAGTGAGGATGGCAACTAATCTGTCAACGAATAGCACAGGGCTCACGTTCATCAATCGTCAGGAAAGTGCAAATTAAAAGCTCATAGTGATAACTCCACTTCTCACCAGGATGGCTAAAATGAAAGACTGACAATACCATGTGTTGACAGGACGTAGGGCAATCACAACTCTCACTCACCGCAAGTAAAGTATTAAACTACAGCCCCCTTTGCAAACTGGTTTGGCAGTATTGTTAAAAGTTGAATGTACGCCTACTATATGACCCAGCGCTTTCATTTCTTGGTATGTACCCAATAGACATTGGTCTTATTTCACCAAAGAGACAAGAACACGATAGTCCCAAATTGGAAGCTACTCACATGCCTGTCAGTAGCAGAATAGGCAAGTTCCTTCTGCTTCATCCACATAGAACAATCCTGCCCAGAGATGGGTCTACATCTCCTTGGTCACAGGATTTCTTTATGTTCTTAAAAATCATTGAATACCCAAAGAGCATTTGTTCATATCGGTTATAGCTATTGCCATTTACCTTAAGAAAAGTTAAAATTAAGAACCAAAATAAGCTATTCAACTCATTTAAAATAAACCCATGACATGTTAACATAAAATGGCATGTTTTTTAATGGGAAATAAAAAAACGTATTTTCCAAAATGAAATGTTAGTGAGAAGAGTGGCATTGTTTATGGTCTTGCTCTTGCCGATCTCTTTAATGTCAGGCCCAGTTGAAAACAGCGTGATTCTCATAGCTGCTACCACATTGGGTCTGTTGAGATATCTTGCGTCTTGTAGCCTCTGGAAAACGTCACTGTCAACTGGTGAGGGAACGAAGCGAAAAGGGAAAATATTAGCATTATTATGACAATAGCTGTGACCTCACCAGGCCCCTGTGAGGGGCTTGATGGTCCCCAGGAGTCCCTGGATCCCCTTTAAGAACAGCTGCCAGCCAAGGCACAAGCGGCTCACGCCTGTAGTCCCAGCACTATGGGAGGCAGGAAGCTCACTCAAGGCCAGGAGTTCGAGACCAGCATGGTCAATATAGAGACAACATGTCTCAATAAAAAATAAAAAATTTACCCGGGCATGGTGGTGCGTGCCTGTAGTCCCAGCTACGTAGTCCCAGCTACTTGGGAGACTGAGACAGGAGGATCCAGACAGGAGGATCACTTGAGCCCAGGAGTTTGGGGAAACAAAAAAGACTTTCCCCAAGTCCCCAAGACACACCCCAGGGTCCTCCCCAGCTCTTGAAATTTGAAGCAATTGAGGATCCAAAGATCTTTTGTTGATACAAGTGATATCCATTGCTACTTACTGTATTAGGATTTGAAACTGTGGAATTTTAAAAAATGTTTAAATATTTTAAACTGCATTTAAAATGTCCTTTGAATTTTGTATCAAATTTTTTTGCAAGATGCTTCGCGTCAGAGAGAGACCCCAGGGCTCTGCTAGTTTCCTTGCAG